TTTCTTTACAGAGAAATTACTTCCCTCCAAATCCTTTATAAATCCTGGATTCTCTCCCAAACTGGAGAAGTTAGTTTTGATTTTAAATCTCTCCAAAAACATGTAAAAACCCAGTTTAATGGTGGTTTTTTTTTTTTGTTTTTTTTTTTCCACACGTAGATCAAACAAATCCGGGGCGTTCGAGTTCAAACAGGAAGTGATGAAATCACAAACACTCCCGCGCTCCAACGGCGCTCAAGCTAAACGAGCTCTGTTCGAAAGAATGAACTCGGAGCCTGTAAAGTAAGAGCGTTTCAGTTTATTTACATCTTTGGCCGTTAAATTTCTCTGTGATTTTTGACCTAACAGTCGTCCATGTTTCTCATCAAGCAGGGCGAAAGACTCCAAACCCAAATTGAAACGCTCCCAGAGCTTCGGCGTTTCCAGCGCCAGCGGAATAAAGCAGATCCTCCTGGAGTGGTGTCGCTCGAAAACCATCGGCTACAAGGTCAGACAGTGAACATTTTAGTGTCCCCTGGTAAATATTTATTGTTATTTATGAAAGGTAATAATAAACTTTATTATTAGGTGAAATCTAAAAGTCTAAATAATTTGTTTTTTTTTTATAAAGGATGTATTTTTTATATCATCCATCTGTTTTACATGCTAGTTGAATGAAATAATTAACACTTATATTACTTTATTGTAATAAAGATGATAAATAATATGTGACACAGATCCACTTGCTGTTGCTTTGTCAGCTGTGAGCCGACACCCTGTTCGGACACCATCTTTGCTCCGCCTTGTCACAGATGCTGACTGTGGACTGGATAGACAGGGCTCACTCTAGAGTTATTTAAACTCTATGATCACGTATCATCTCCACACTGAAAGCTAAGTTTCAGAGTCAGGTGCCAGGCTGTTGTGGCTGTGTATGGTTCTTCCACATGCTACCGATCCAGTCTAATAAATACCTCAAAACAAGAGACAATAGTTTTTTTCTTCATAAATTCAACCTTTAAATGTGTTTTCTTAAAAATGTGGCACCATTTAAAGGGAAATAAACAGGAATTACAAAATTTATTTCCAAGAAGCATTGTTGCAACAAAAATTAAGCGACTAAACACTGATTTCAGTTTTCTTTTTTCTCTGTTTGTGTTATAATTCTCTTCTTAGCTGGATGAAGTTGTTCTAATGAGATGTTTCTTTGTCGTCTGCCCCGTCAGAACATAGACATCCAGAACTTCTCGTCCTGTTGGAGCGATGGAATGGCCTTCTGCGCTCTGGTCCACTCCTTCTTCCCGCTGGAGTTCGAATACAACACGTTGAATCCGGCGAATCGCAAAAAGAACCTGGAGCTGGCCTTCACCACAGCAGAGTGAGCTGCAGAGGAAGAAACGAGACAAATTAAATATTATGAAGCTGCGCTTTYCTAACTGATGTGTTCGTGTTTCAGGGAGCAGGCGGACTGTCTGCGTCTGATYGAGGTGGACGACATGCTGGAGATGGGGGACAAGCCGGACCCCATGTGTGTGTTTACCTACGTCCAGTCGCTCTACAACCACCTGAAGAAGTTTGAGTAATTCTGCATCAAAAACCAAAAGCCTTTAGATTTATACGGCAGGAGAGCTTTTCATCTCAGTCCTGTAGAACTCTTTGGTTCTGGGTCGTAACGTTAGTCCAGCTCACCATCAGGATCTGGATTTAAAGAGTTGTGTGCATAAAGTTTTAAAGCACCACATGTTTACAGAATACATGATAAAATCATTTTTAACTCTTCGTAGAGACTATTTTAGCTGCCGTCACTTTGTGAAACTGAAGACTATTTAAGTTTTTACACCAACCCAGCTGCTTCCCATCAAAGTGTTTTAAATTTTACAACACAAACATGTAGATAACAGGAAAAAGATACATTAGAGGTGTTTTATTGTAATTTTTTTCCCCTCTGTGTTTAAAGGTTGAGTAAATATGAGAGATATTCTGCCACCTGCTGGTGGAGAAAAAAGAAAATCAGAATTATTTTAAAAACAATTTAGTTTTATTTTTGTTGTCACCACAAAGACGTGTTTAAAACAAGTTCACTCAGTGGAGACATAGAAATATAACAAAAAATACACCACTTTATTCACATCAGTTTGTCATGCGCTGTAAGAAAATATAAATATATATTTTAAAAAACACTTTTTGTTGTGTTTTATCTCAAAGCTCTTTAAAATGTTATGTGTGAAGTGGCACGGTTTGTTTTTATGTCTTTATGGAGGATTGAAACGGATCACTTTTTTAACACAAATCTCACCAAAAATAATGTTTTTTTTTAGTCCTTAATAAATCACATTTTATCTCAAAGCTCATCTTATTTGGTTGTTATTAAGATCTCAGTTCTTTTTACTTATTAAGTTTTGGGGAGGATTTAAAAAATAAAATAAAAATATTCCACTTTTAAAGTAAAAATATAAAAGTTAATATTCAAAAAGAAAATACATATAAAACTTCATAGAAAACATTATTGTTTAGTTTTTTTTATTAAGACTTAGGTCTGTTTATGTACAAAAAACATTAGATTTTTTATTTCAAGAATAAAGTCATAATATGAGAATAAACTTGTAAAATAATAAAGTCATAATATTAGAAGAATAAAGATGCAATATTACCAGAAAAAGTTGTAAAATTATAAGGAAAAAAAAGGAATTTTAATGAGAAACAGAATCATCATATTACCAGGTAATGTTCATGTAATATATTGACTTTTTTTTCTTGAAATTTAAAAGTATTTAGGATGGCAAACTCCGAAAGTATGAAATATTATTTAAAACAAATAGGACTTAAAAATTGCGTGGTTCAAATAAAAATTGTAACTGGGTATCCTTATGAAAAAATTAATTTAACATTTTTTATTGGTGTAAATGGACTTCCATACACTTCTCAAATAAATATTGTTTTGAAAAACTGCTGAACCAGTGTAATTTTATATAATAATTATAGTATTTTTACACTTAATTTTCTGCTTTCTACTTTCTAATTTTGTTTTAGTTGATTTAATTAAGACCCTGGRTGTTTTGTTTGCTCTAAGTTTCATAAGTTCGTGTTTTTTTAGGGGGCGTGAACGCCTCCCATTGACTCCCATTTATTCCTTCCGGTAGACGAGGTCAACTTTTCCCGAGGTCCGCCATGTCAGTCCCGAAAGCTTCTTGTTGCCCAATAGTTTAGCAGTGTTATAACTTCAAGCTGTAGATAACTGAGTTATTTTATTYTTAATTGTGTTTGTGTAGCAGTGCGTTGAACGTGTTTACGTAACCTTTGGAATAAGGAAAAATAAAAAAAAGTCCTGGAATTGTTGCGTTCACTTCCGAGCGGGAGAGTCGGTAAAACAAAGTTTTGCATGAGTTGTGGGTTAAAGGGAGAGGTGGTGGAAGAGAGGGCCTCGAGCCTCGGACTCGCCGGGATTCAGCAGCACCGTCATGGCCGGTAATTTCGACTCCGACAACCGAACCAGCTGGTACTGGGGCCGACTGAGCCGCCAGGACGCGGTCGCCCTCCTCCAGGGACAGAGGCACGGAGTCTTCCTGGTGCGGGACTCGATCACCAGCCCCGGGGACTACGTGCTGTCGGTGTCGGAGAACTCCAGAGTTTCCCACTACATTATTAACAGCATCAGCAACAACAGGCAGTCCAGCACAGGTAAGACGGAACTTTTCCTCTTAATATAATTAATAATAATTAATGGAGTTACATTTTTACTCGTAAAGACTTTATTTTCATTCACATTCGGTAGTCCACAGTGGGTTTGRGGGTCTGAAAGGAAACGTTCAGGCTCCGATGTCACAACCAGGACATGACTGAACAGATTGGCGTTTCAGGAATGTTCCTGCTGGAAACACCTGAAGACCTTTACGCGCTTTTTCTTCTTCTCATTTAAAACATTATTTGAATCGGATTCTGTTTTTTCCCCCTCCATCCCTCTCTTCATTTCAACATTTTGCAGTTGTTTACTACCTTTTTAACTCGTTGTCATTTAGTCACTTTTTAAGCTACTTTTAAACATATTTTTGCTCGAAGTTGAACTTCCGGGTACTCTGTCACGTGACCGTGTTTAGAGGAAGAGATGTTGGTTYGGAGGAAGARTTTTTCCTCTCTTTGCTACAGCAAMTTACTGAATTTACCTTAATCTGTTAATTTTAGGGATATTGAGCATAAATCTGTTATGGTAGTATCTGAGTCTGGTCTATACTTAAAAGATTGAGCAAGCTGTTTAAAACCTGTTTTTATTAGCTTAAAGTTTAAGGTTTGATTAAATGATCTAAAACTCTGGCATAAACAATCCTTTAATCTGTGACTTGATTTATTCCACGTGTTTGTGTAAATGTTTGTGATTTTTGTGTTCTATACGCTAACAACATCGCCTGGTCTTCTCCAGGTTTGGTTCCTCCCCGGTTTCAGATCGGGGATCAGGAGTTCGATGCCTTGCCGTCCCTCCTGGAGTTCTACAAGATCCACTACCTGGACACCACCACCCTCATAGAACCCGTAAACAGGGCTAGAAACGCGGGGTCCAACGGCTCCGCCCCCTCCGGCGCTCCCCAGCAGCAGGCGGAGGAGGCCGAGTTCGTCCGTGCGCTCTTCGACTTCCCCGGCAACGACGAGGAGGACCTCCCCTTCCGTGCGGGGGACGTGCTGCGGGTTCTGGAGAAGCCCGAGGACCAGTGGTGGAGCGCCTCCAACCAGGAGGGCCGAGTCGGGATGATCCCCGTGCCCTACGTTGAAAAGTACCGGCCCGCCTCACCCACCTCTCCGGGTCCTCTGGCTGCGGGGGTCGGGGGGTTAGGTGGCGGTGGAGACGGGACGGGAAGCCCTCAGGCCAATCCTCTGGGGGACCCGGGTCCATACGCTCAACCCGTGGTCAACACTCAGCTCCCGAACCTGCAGAACGGACCGGTTTACGCACGGGCCGTTCAGAAGAGGGTCCCCAACGCCTATGACAAGACGGCTCTGGCTCTGGAGGTAAGACCTCTGTGGACCCTCTGTCCTCTGTGAGACATCTTACTCTGTTCGTCCTTTTGTTTTGGGTCGGAGCCGAGGCAGCACCGCTCGTCCTGATTATGGGACCAGTTCACTCCTGTGTGTGTGAACAGAAACACAATGTGTCTTTATGAACACTGAACCAGTTTATTCTCAGTGGAGACCGTTCTGGACTCTCAGATCCTTCACAGTGTCTCGTCTTTAGGACACAAAGGTCCATTCGTTTGTCTGTGAATGGGACATTATATGTTCATTACTGCAGGAGTCCAATTAAACAAACAGGCTGCTTTATTAGATACATTATAAATAGAAATCTGTTTTCTCGGCTGACAGTTTAGATTTCTGTCTGAAACCCAAATTAACTCGACAGAATACTATTAATAGTTTGAAAACGTCTTATTGGAAATGTAAAACGTATCCATTACAGGTTTCTAGTTTGGGTTTAATGGAAATAAAACAAATTTCTGCTAATCCTGCCAGCTATCTTTATTTTCACGTATTCTGGCAGTGAAGGTGAAGCTCACCTGTAGAAGTTTCCACTTTGTAATCGTTTCAAAATAAAACACAGTGGCCAAAACAAAACAGTTTTTCATTGGATTTTAACAAGATTTTATATCAGTGATATAAAAATTATAGACCTGACACCCGGTCTGGAGACATAGACCCACGTGTGCAGAGCGAGACGCCATCTTGAAAGAGTCCGAGAGGCACAGGGCCAAACAATGCTGGGTTTTTACAAATTAAGAGTTTTTTCGTTTGTTTGTTTTACACAGATTGACACCAGCTTTTGTAATTAAAAAAATCCCCTCTATTTTACCAGATAGGTCTGTTGAAAACAGATATGTTCTCTAACAACCTGGTCAAAATCAGGTAAATAAAAAAAGTCGACAACATAGAAGCAGAAGATTCAAACCAAGGCATAAATCAGTATTTTTAAAACACACTAAAATACAACCTTTTTTTGTCAGTACAGGTTGATTCTGACAGTAAACACACACACCTTGTTATTACAAACAACAACAAATAACAACGTACAGATGGAATTTCACAACGCTGCACCAGGGGAAGGCATTGAGTTGAACGACTTCTCCAAGATGGCGTGGTGTTTAGCACATACAAAGTCACGTGACGGTCTCTAGTAGAGTATAACAGAGCTGTTATTAAGTGTGAACCTCGTGTTTCCTGTCCACAGGTGGGCGACATGGTGAARGTGACCAAGATCAATGTGAACGGTCAGTGGGAGGGCGAGTGCAAAGGGAAACGAGGCCACTTCCCCTTCACCCACGTTCGGCTGCTGGAGCAGCCCCAACTCGACGACGAAAGCTGAGAGAAACGAGTTTTTACCTGCCGAGTTGTCAGGATGTCTAAAAGCACACAGCTGAACTGTTCGGGCTCCAGCGGTCCAACCAGAACCAGCTCAGCTGGATGGTCTTTATTTTGATGGACGTTACTCGTGTTAAGAGTTTACACTGAGGTCAAACTGAGGTTTGTCTATATTAGCTTTTCTTTTCTTTACTCAATTATCACTGTTTAAAGCCAGCTGAAAGCGTCTCCGACTCGTGAAATAACATCTTTATTTTCATTCAAGTGATGTTTTTTTATTCGATATATTTATTGTTGGAAACACAACTCCAGCTTCATGGCTACAGTTAAAGAGRGATTTTTAATTTGATTGTTTTTAAGCTAAATGTGCCTTTTTTATTATTATTWTTTTAGATGAGATGTCATTTTGGGCTGTTTTTGAGGTGGTTGGACATAAATTTGATGCAGATTTGTAGTTTGGAGCCACAGATTAGAAAACAAATATAAAAACTGATCAGGGTTTGGATCACAGCCACTTAAAAACAGTTCTGAAGGCAGCCTCTAGGGGGCACTCATCCTTCACAGCTTCAACTTCCAGGTTCTCTTTTGAAGGAGGAATAAAGCGTCTCTCAAACCGATCCGAGAAAGGGTTTATTTTGTATTTTTTGTGATTCACACAGGAGGCGAAACGAGTTGAATTTGGTGTTTTTCTAAAAAATAAACGATGAATCTCAGAGCCACACGATCAAATCTAAACATTTCTCTTAAGATGAGTTCACAAAAATACGTAGCATTCGCAATGAACAGTTCAAAATGAATTTTATTTTACTTTCAGAAGGCAGAGACACATCTTTGTTTTTGAGAACAAAATAAAAACATTTTTTTTCTTTGTCGAGCTGCATGATCAATTTAAAATTAAAATATTAATTTAACCCTTTTTTTATTTGTTTTACTTTCAGAACAAACTTGAATTGGTTTCTTGGACCATAAATGACATTTATTGTAGTTTTATGTTTTCTATGTTTTTAAAAAAGGAACCAAAACATTTTTTATTTGGGACCCTGGGTGTAATTAAGGAGTTTTTAGTTTCTGAATCTATATTTTTGTTGTTGTGGGAATTTTCCAACTTGTGATGCTTGATTTTTTTTTTTTTTTTTTTTTTTTTTTTTTTTTTTTGTCTGTGGGGAGCAGAACATGCATTTTTGAACTTTTTAAGACATGTTAAAATGAAATCCAGCCTAAAATAATCTGCTGTGCTCAACAGAAAAGCAAAGAAAAGGTTTTATATTTTATTTCCTCTCTTTTATTTTGCTCCATTAACTGAACAACTCGATTAAAAAAACAAAAAGAGGAAGTAAATATAAACACTCTTTACCTGTGTTTGRTTTAAAACAGACTAATTGGGGTTTAAATCAATGTAAACAGATAAAGGTAAATTGATTTGGGGTCAGATGTTGAAATTATGCTTTCCAAGAGGTTAAACTTCTTCTTCATTTAAATATATTTAAAGTCCAACAAAGTGACAAATCATCTGCTTTAAGTGTTTTTAAGTTGGCTCATRATTCCACTTCTGTGCATCCAAGCTGTTTTAAATCTGTTATGAGTTTACATTTTATTATAAAATTATAGCTTTTTCTTTTCGAGACTCACATTTAAGAAAAGTATTTTTGTACACTACATTATTGTTATCATTTATTGCCATATTAAGCCTTTTGAGCCACACAGTCTGTACAGTCCTACCTGCACCTGTTGTATTAATAAAAAATGCATTATTTTTCAGTTCTTGTATCTCGTTATTTGTTTTTGTTATTTTTTTTTCTGTCGCACTTCTGCATAAATAAAAAGTCAAACCACAGATAAATAAAAGATGAAGTCCAACTCTGGATGTATTCATATGTATTTGTGATCAGATTTGTTGGGTAAAATATGCAGATTAAAGGGTTTTGTTTGCATTGAGTGCATACCTGCATTTCAGAATGGTTTATCTGGAAAACCACTGGAGAAAACTCAAAAGTGCACTGTTTGATATGGTTCAGGTTGACCTATTTTAATGTTAGATTTTATAGATGGTTTATGATGGTGCTTAATGGATTTTTGTGTGTTTTAAATGAA